GGACACCTGGGCAGCCCCTAAAAGCCCCTCTGCCCAGAAGGTCGACGGTCATGTCAGGCACTAATCTTTGTATCCCCCCGTTGTAGCCACCGACGACATCGTGAAGGTTGAGGTCTGGGACGTAGTTGACAAAGGTAAGTCCTGTCTCTTTATTACAAGTACATTTTCCTGATGCTTCGTCCATTCTGCGGAGCAGATGTCCCCCCTCCCCCATGCTCACGCTTTGGGCATGTCCTTGTGTGAGTCACGGGAACCTCTGGGTTCTCCGCAGCCGCAGGGCGGACACAGGAGTGTGTGACCAGAAGGTCTGCCCCCAGGAACAGCCAGGGGCTGTCGGAGGTCTGGGCTTGTGCTCCTTCCCTGAGTTTCTGCATCTGAGGCCGCTCCCTCCTGCATCCAGGGTGGCGGGGCGGACGCACAGCAGTGACCTGTAGGGACCTCGGCCTCTGCTGCTTAAATGCACATTTCACGCACTGGGACAGAGCACGTGGCCGTGGGGCAGACACGGACCGGCAGCGGGTGGGCCCCAAAGCCAGAGGCCTGCACGAGGCTGTTCCAGAAGCCCTTCCTGCAGCAGTGCCCTTCATGTAGTGCCCTGGGCCCGGAGCTGAGGACCAGGTCCTGGGCTTCTGAAGCTGCCACCCTCCAGGGGCATGCGCCCACGTGACTGCTGCCCCACGGTCGCTGACGGCGGTGGTGTCTCTGTGCTCTCACAGGGAAGTGCTCCAGCTGTCAGGACCACACCCCAGTGCGCCTGGTGAGGGGGGCGGGCATGCTCCCCCTTCGGAGCCCTCTCCTTCCCTCCTCTGTGTTTCTGGGCAACACAGAGGATCCGTTGCCGGTGCCCCATGTGTGCCCTGTGCTCCCGAGCACGGTGTCACCCCTGGCCTGGGAGGCTTGCCGTAGCCACAGGTGTCCTCAGCGAGAAAGGACGGTCTGTCTTCTGTGAGCTCTGGGTTCTGGTGCCAAAAGTGCAACCCCTGTCCCCTCACCATCGTCTTCGGGTTTAGGTGGGTGTAGGTTCCCAGGCCCGACTCGGCTGCTGTAGGACAGCCTGAGGGTGAGCGGGAGCTCCAGGCAGGCCAGGAGGCTTAAGCCGCGGGGCCCTGGTGAGTGCTCAGCATCCCTGCAGCTCCGTGTCGCCTGGTCCCCTCCACCACCCCAGCCCGTTGCTTGTGGGACAGGGTGTGAGCATGCACAGCAGCAGAGGGCGTCGGGTTTGAGAGCCTGGTGGGAAATGCAGAGTGGCAAGGAGGCGAGGCCCGGCGAGTCTTGGAGCGCCCCGAGAAGGGAGGGCACCTGGGAGCAGCCTTGTACCCCAGGGCAGCGGAAGCTCACCGAGAGTGTCGGTGGTGCCAGGATGCGGCCCTGTGGCCCGGGAGCGGCCACCAGGAGGGCGCAACGTGGCCAGCTGCCGTCAGACAGGGACCGCCCGCTGCGCCCCATGGGCCCCAAAGGCGGTTAGAGGGTCAAAAAGGAGCTGTGGGGACAGGCAGCAGCTGGTGTGAACGCGCCCAGTCTATAACGGTGATGGTGTGGAACTCTTTATTCCTCAGGACCCGCTGGAGTTGGCTTTAGCTCCTTGGGGCCGCTCAGGGCCGGGCCCAGCTCGGCCGGCACCAGCACCAGCTCAGGGAGCCTCTCTGGCCTCCAGTGCAGCACCTCACAGGCTGGGCCGTGCCAGCCTGTGCCAGCCGGCAGCACCCTCTCGGGGCTGGGACCTCTGTCGATCCGGGAAGGAAGTGCCCGAGTTCGAACCAGAGCCCGGGTGGGGGCGTTAGGGCGATCTTGCTGAGCGGCCCCGAGCCCTGCCGGACGTCCCTCCAGTCTAGGCCAAGCTCTTGGAGCCCCTCAGGGCCTCTCCTGGTGAGGTCGGCAGCTACAGCTGCCAGGAAGGTCTCGGTAGGGTTGCGGCCGCTTCCCTGGCGCTGGTGGGTTTGCTCCAGTGCCCGCTGTGGGGGCCGCGGCTCCCCGGGCCTCCTCCTCAGTAGAGTACGGCGCCTGCTGGAGGTGGGGGCCGGGCACAGGGTGGGATGTGGGGAGCCGCGTCCCTCCCTGGAGCCACAGTTCCCTCTGTGACTTGTGTGTCTTCTGACCAGGGAAGTGCAGGCGGCGAGGTGACGGCCTGAAGGTGGAGAACGACCCCCAGGAGGTGGGTAGGCCGTGTCCGGCCACGGGGCCCACTGCTCAGATGGGGGTTGGGACCCTCCCCGGGACTCCAGTGGCACCAGTCGGCCCCACTCCTCATGCGAGCCTGCGCCGCCCACGGCTGTATTTTGGGATGGCCGGGCCTGCCTAAGCTGCTGGCCTGCAGGGAGTTTGAGCTGAGGGCTGTCGAGGTGCACTGGTCAAACCGTGTGGCCCCACGCACACGTGGGCACGAGTGTGGCTCTGAATGGGCTCTCGCTGTGGCCACCACTCTTGACACAAAGAAGTCGGGCAAACCGGCACCCCTTCCCTTCGAGGGAGGCCTTCACGTTGTTCCCAAGGGCCCTGCTCTCTGTGTCCTCCTGCCCGTAGATGGTCTCACGATTGGCAGGCAGCCTCCTTGATCCCCTCTAGGGCAGGAGGGTTAAGTGACCACCTGGTCCAGGTCTGTCTGGCCCTTTGCGTGACACTTTGCCCCTGGCCCCAGCACCGCAGCCTGTGTGCGTGCAGCCCGCGGCCCTGTCTGTGTGCTCTAGAAGGTTCTTTGCAAGTGTCTTCCTCAGTTCTGGAATGTACACCTTGCAATGGGGCGCCGGCTGCTCCAGCCCGCTCATCCCTCTGTGTGGCGTGAAGTCTGTGAGGCCTGCGGGTGGGATGCTGTTGGCCGGTGGAGAAGGCCCTGATCAGGGACAGAGCTGATGTGGCCCCGGGGCCTGAACTGTTCACTACTAGACCTTTTGACGCAAAGTTTTCTGACCCCCACCCTGGATAATCTCGTCTACGTGGTTTTTTTCCCAAAACAAAAATAGCTGTTGTCTTTTCAGATTGTGAAAGTCCTGTTCAGCCATTTCCAGGAGGAGACCGGGTTCTCGCCCCTGGGACTCTGCCCGGAGCACCCTCCCTTATGCCCAGTTCTCTCCTGTCCCTAGGCGGAGTCCGAGATGGCCCTGGACGCCGAGTTCCTGGACGTGTACAAGAACTGTAACGGGGTGGTCATGATGTTCGACATCACCAAGCAGTGGTAAGGGGGCACTGGCCGGCAGCGGCCGTCGAGGCTCCTAGGGCCTCGCCACCCGGAGGGCTCCCCCTGCAGCCCAGCGGGCGGTGGTTACGCCGGCATCGCGCCTGGTGCCAGACCACGGGAGCCTCTCCGTGGGTGTCGTGCGCTCCAGCAGTTCAGCCGCCGGGAAGCGGAGGCCCAGCCGTCTCTGGACGTCTCTGTGTGGCGGGCGGGCCGGGTGGGGGGCACGGCCCCGGGGGAGGCGCACCTCCCACAGCCCACGGCCTTCCCTGAAAGGACCACGCGGCGTCTGGCGGGATCGAGCGACCGCTCGTTTGGGGCTCCCCGAGGACACGCCCCACATCCTTCGATCGCGAGGGGGCGTAGCTAGAATCCCAGCGAAACGCTACGGAGCAGGCTGCGGGGAGGAGCGTGGGAGCGGGCCACGCGGGCGACACGAGCGGACTCCCCGGTCCCGCCTCTGCATCAGCCCAAGGTGGGGGCTGGCGAAAATGGCCTGTGGGGTCTAGCTCCGCCTTGAAATTCTCATCACCGCATACGTAATGCCGCCGTGAGAGGCTGGCCCAGGCGTCACTTGGTGCCGGCCAGGTTTTCCTCAGGGCGCCGCACACACAGATTCCGTCTTCGGGACACAGGCTCTTATACACGCATCCGCAGACACTGCGTTTATCTGAGGGCACGTTCGCGCACGGTCGGAGGCGCCGGCCTTGCGCAGGTCAAGCTTTCACTCTCGGGAACCCGGAGGGTTCAGGCCCAAGGGATCTGACGGGGCCTCCCGTCAGCCCTCCCGGCCCGCAGGGATGCGGTCCCTCCCGCCGGGGACCCATCACTAGCACGTGCGCGGGAGGCCCCTGGGTGGCAGCAGGCGCACCTCGGAAGCGTGCAGAGCAGGGCGGTGGCCCCCACGGACAGACGTGCCTGTGCGAGAGGCGGCCACCCTGCTCTCCCGGGGTCGGCGCCAGGGAAGGCCGGCGTGTCTCCCGGATGAGCTGCAGCGGTCCCTGCCGCCAAGGCACCTAGAGGTGGTTTCCCCGCCTAGAATCTGCGAGGGCGCAGCTCTGGGTAGGCCCTCGGCATCCCCGAAGCTCCCCGCGGCCTTTGCCCAAGGCCAGGAAGGACCACTGGCGGGAGCGAGGGGGGAGGGGGGAGGTGCCGTGTGTGAGGGGCAGCAGGAGCCCGCCCGCGGGCCTGGGGCAGGGACGGGAGGGGCAGGTCAGCCCGGACGGGAGCAGCCGCAGCACCCTGCCGGTGGTGCCACTCTGTCTGGAGCCTTCCCACGGCGAACGAGAATGGCTCCTCTGAGCCCTCGTGGGCCGGAGCCAGGCCCGAGTCGCTGGGCCCCGTGGCCTCGGACAGAACGCTGGAGACGGGCCCCAGGGCGGGAGGCGGATCCCTTTGGTCCTTTGATAACAGTTTCAGTTACCGTGCCTCCCGGGAAAATAAAGTCCAGTCTGTCAGCACGGGCGTGCGTGTCTGCATCGTGCCCGGTGGCGGTCTCTGGGTCGGGACGCGCTTCGCACCACGTGTTGGCCCCACGGGGCAGCCGTGCCCCACAGGGGGTGCAGAGACACCTCACCCAAGGGACTCCCAGGAAAGGAGGTTGAGAGGGGCAGGAACCAGCGGAACCGAGGGCTCGGCCCTCCCGGCTCCGTGCGCTCCGGGTGAAGTGGCGGGTGGGGGTGTCACAGCTGACCCTGAGGACGTCTCTCCTCACCTGTACCCCCTCAGGACCTTCAACTACATTCTCCGGGAGCTTCCCAAGGTGCCGGCCCACGTGCCGGTGTGCGTGCTGGGGAACTACCGCGACATGGGCGAGCACCGAGTCGTCCTGCCCGACGACGTGCGTGACTTCATCGACAACCTGGACAGGTGGGTGGGTGGCCGGGAGACCTGGCACCTGGGACGCCCTCCTGCCCTCCCTCCTGCTCCTCGGACTCGAGGCCCAGCTGCATCCCAAGGGGCTCAGACTCCTCCCCCTGCTCCAGCAGGGCCCCTGCTGCGGGCAGCGAGGGTCAGAGAGTGACTGGCAGAGGGTCTGCAGAGGGCAGAGTGGCTTCCTGGCACCAGGCAGGCCGGGTCGGGGCTGGGTGTCGGGGTGATGCAGTGAGGCCCCCCTCGGGGGCGTGGAGGGCTGGCTGGCCCAGGTGTGGTCCGCGTTCCAGAGGGGCTGAACCACCCCCCCCCCC